AGTTGCCCCCCCCCCCCCCCCCAAAAGGGCTCCTGCCCCCCCCATCTTTCCCATCTGCCAGTGCTGTCCAGCTGATATGTGAGGCTCAATGTTTTCCTGGTTCTCTCCCTGGATTCACTCTGCTTTCCGAAGGCATCCATTTGTGATTTTAATCCCATCATTGTTTGCAGATGTCACCTCGCCCCCACTGTTATCACAAATGCGGAGAGCGAGGGACCCGCAGGTGGAGACGGGAGCACTTTCTGCCTAACAGGTAAACACGCAAACCCTGTAATCTGAATATTCAGAGACTTGTCAATAACTGATGTGTTAACTCCAAACCGGCTACTAAGGCTTCCCCAAGCTGAGGGACCCCCGTCCATCAGCAAGGAGCTGGCAAGGAGAGCACCTGCTCCTGATGGAGAGACGATGCATTCCTCCACTGCATTTCTACATGAACCGCATGTGATCCTGTCTATCCAAACACTAAAGCACAAGGACATGGATTATGAAGAGCTGAGTGTGTCTCCTTTCAGTGTGAACTGCTTCTCAGAACAAAGACAGGCCTCCAGTAGAACAGGGTGGGGGGAGATCTTTACACCCCCACAAAGTGCTTCCTAATCCTCGGAGTTCCACTAGAATAATTTCCATTACCGAGTTGTGACACCTGTCCTGATCTGTGACACCATAGCCGTCATGAGGTCAGATTTCAAGCACGTTGTGCGGCTGAGAACCGGAGGTGTGTTCACGTGTGTGTGAAGCGTGTGTGAAGCGTGTGCAACGCCTCCGATCGGAGCCCGGTGCTGACGAACTAGCTTTACCTGCATCCCTCCACACTGCATCTGCTGACGGCTCGGAGCGGCAGGAATGTGCTCGGCTGAATAAGCTCTGTGATCTCGATACAGCCCGTGTAGTTGGTGATGGGTTCGGCACCCTGGGGGGAGAGAAAGCAGGATCATTCCCCACCTGTTAAGAACAACATTGCAGGGAAACACAGCTAAACAGTGCCTGGAGCGGCGGTGTGGGGCCGCATCCGGATTAGCATGCGGGGCCAGTCTTCAGAGAGGAAGTGCAGTAGCAGTGTACCCCGGCTCCTCCCACTCTGGCTCCTCCCACTCTGGCTCCTCCCACCCTGGCTTCTCCCACCCTGGCTCCTCCCAAACCGAGCTCCTCCCAAGCTGGCTCCTCCCACTCCAGCTCCTCCCATGCCAGCTCCTCCCACGCCAGCTCTTCCCACGCCAGATCCTCCCACGCCAGCTCTTCCCACGCCAGCTCCTCCCACTCCGGCTCCTCCCACTCTGGCTCCTCCCACTCCGGCTCCTCCCACGCCAGCTCCTCTCACGCCAGCTCTTCCCACGCCGGCTCCTCCCACTCCGGCTCCTCCCACTCTGGCTCTTCCCACCCAGGCTCCTCCCACTCCAGCTCCTCCCACGCCAGCTCTTCCCACGCCGGCTCTCCAACCTCCATTACACTACGAGAGGCCTCTTCAGACCAGCATTTGTACATGCAGCGCCTTGGAAAGTCACATGCTGATGATTAACAAGACGAAAGGTTCTCCAGGAGAACCACACGGAGATGAACAGAAACGAATCAGAGGAATGCGGCTTTGCCATGGGCTGGCATTCAGTCTCTACCCTTCCAGAGGCTCTAATTGTATGTTTTTCATCCAGTCTTCCTGCTAACGGTGCCTTGAGCTCCAGGAAGCCACAAAACCACTTTTAATTACATTATTTATTTAGCAGATGCTTGGGGTCAGAGAATATTCCAGGAACAATTGGGAATAAGGGCTATGCCGAAGGCTTCTGCGGTGATACGATGACTCTGCCGGATATGGGATTTGAACCTATGACCTTCCAAACACAGACTCCTAAGCTGCTGAGCTACACGCTGTATTACAGTACTTCTAGAACATATTGCATCTCTAACACTAGATTTCAATGTGAATCATTTCCCGTTTTCCATTGGCTTGATTCACCTCTGTGGTCCAGTGATTTACTTCATTTCAGTGTTCAGACCAGAGGGCACTGGTTCCACCCCCATTAACACACCTGCTCACCCCGCCCCCTTTCCACATGGCCAATCAGCCACAGCATTGTGGAAGGGCTGAGTGTTCATTGGAAGAACTGCCGGCTGGCAGTGACCCAGTGGGGCCGGATGGACCCTATAAGCCGTCTGGTGAGTGGCCTGAGCCAAATTCTTCAGATTCACTGCCAATCCGCCCTCCAATTGTGTCTACAGCCAGTGGCTCCCAGCTTTACTGGGCAGGCGAAGGCATCCCTGATCTAAACTTTGATCAGGGCTTAGCTTTCAATCTGTGCCCAGGGATAGAGCCACATACAAGCTGTGCTGCTCAGAATCACATTTCTTCACAGAAAGGACTTTTACATGTTTTATTAACCTGGGCCGTACAACATATTGGCGAATTAAAGCATTATGGCTTTTCACCCAGCCTTACATTCAAGCTGGGCTGCGGTTCCCTGCCTATGCCCAGCCTTACATTCAAGCTGGGCTGCGGTTCCCCCTGGACAGGGGGGTCTGCAGGCAGACAACACGAGCACATTCAGGCTGTCTAATCAAACACCTTATGCTTTGATTCATTAACATGGCAGCAGCCACAAGAAAGCCAAGATTTTACTGCTGTTCTTTGTCATTAAAAAACTTTGCCTGTTTTTGTTTTTTTTTTTATGCTTAGCAGACCCCATACCCACAATGCCCTGCTGTTTCTGTTCATCACTGCCGTGTAATTATACACGTAATTACAAACACGCTCCGATATGTATCGTTACAAATATACGAGGCATAATTGCAGAATAGTCTGTAAGCCTTCAGGATATTAGCAGCGTATGGTCGCTTTGTGATAATTCTGCTCCAAGATCAAAGGATGAATTAAACCGTGAACAAACAGTTGAATTGGAGGGTCTGTCAGACAATCTATAAGGTTAACCATCCAAAAAAAGCAGAATCCTTCTGAGAGGGCCTTCGGCACGCTTCTCTGATGTGCCATTTTGCGAATGAATTGATAATTTTAAGAGGTGTGGGTAAATGCCTGGCTCAGGAAGCTGACCATGTGTGAGGAACAGGTTCATTATTAAAGTAGATTGGACCCCGACTTCATGTGGGGGGGGCTATCGCTGAGAAATCTAATAAAGGGTTTGATAAAAAGGGATTATTCCCCCTCGGTCAGATGGCCGTTCCAGCGGAAAACCCGCAATGGCTGCAAGCTTGCCTGCCCCCCACATGTCACTCCCCCATCCGAGGTTCCTCGCAAGGCCTTTTCCGTCTCGGAGTTTGTCCAAAACAAAGGCCCACGTGATAAATGAACAAGGCTGTGTGATTTCTACCAGAGTTACAGCAAACCGATACATTCATCCACCTCAGACGATGAACGACGGACTTTTAGAGCAATATCTGCTTAATACGACAAGGCACACATTCAATTATTGATACAGACAGCTTAATTTTTTAAAACATCCCATAATATGTGTTTTAAGGCCCATCAATTTCTGAAGCTTTTTTCCTCTCCATTGCACTCCATGAAAAGGCATCTCGATTTCAATCCAGCTCTTATGAGCAGAAAATCAGATTTTTCAATCACACTTGCAGTGGTCAACACTTGAAATGGAAAGAGAAACACAAGCTGCTATTGACTTTTTCTTAAAACGTATTAATTTGGAGTTTTCTCAGGAGCAGCCATGCCGAAGACGCTGTTGGTGTGTAAAATTCTGCTTGGCCCAAAGCGCCGGTCAGCAATCGAGGGTCGTTACCCCCTGGAATTAAGCGAGTGCCTGCGGCCCCATCTTTCAGTAATTGGCCTGCAGAAAGTGGATAAGTTGAAATACGTTTAAGGTGTTTTGTGGCTTGTGTACAACACCTCCGTGTGCTGTGCTGCAAATGGCCATGAAACATCATTATGAGACCAGTCTGCACAGATCTGTTCCTCGTTCAGGCTGCACTGATGTTTTATAGTTCATGCACCCTGATGTTTTTACAGTTCTCTCTATAATTTCCTCTGCTGACCCTGGGGCTCAGAAAGACGTCGCCCCCCAATTTCACTACCAGAGCATGTTGACGTGTGTAATACTCAGCCAAATTCATACTGCGTGTGCTTTTTAGGATCTCCGGGAATGCATCTATTCACCGGGGTCCCTTTCATTCTAGGCCGTTCTGTCAGCGTTCCCCCTAGTGCATCATGGGATATTGCCCATCTGGTATCACAGGCTTTCCAGAGTTTCGGCTGCTGGGAATCTCTGGTTCCTTCCTGTTACGGTGCCAGACTGTGCCAGGAAATCCATTTCATTACTGCTGGAGCAGTGCCCACCCCTGAGGAGCAACGGGTGGCAGCGGTGGGAGGCTACTGTACCGGGGCAAGGGTGTGGCCGAATGGGACGCCCCCCACGAAGAGATGAGCGGCTCTGTGCACCGGGGGCCCCGACCGGGAGCTGCTGGGCTGACTCCAGGCTGCTCGATGGCCGGACACCGTCATCTCCACCTCACACGGGGACAGCTGCTGTCTGTGGGTGACAGCACAGAAGCATCCGGAATCAGTCCGCCTCACACATAGAGTGACACGTCACGCACATGTGAATGCACACAGTATCTCACGCTCATGCTGATTTAGTGACATGTTCCCTCGTCAGTCTTTTCCCTGGGTGTGGGCTTCAAACGCTTGGTTGTTTTATAAGAACTGCTGGTTTCCGCAGCTAATTTGACCGATATTCTCTCCTGCAGGGTGGATCTGCTTTTTTCTGACCATGGGCCCTAACTAAATGGTTTTGAATGCAGGAGATGAAATTCATCGATATGAGCGGTGAGCTTCGGGACTTTTCCGTCACCTGCTTAATTTAATGATATCTCCCTGGGCAGAGCGGTGCACAGCCCCTTTAAACCCCCCCCCCAAGCCCTCCTTAATGCCCGCTTTGTCTTGTTATGGTAGTCAAACCGAAAACAGGTTGTGCTCAGTGCGTATTAATGAAGGCTGTTTCCATGGATACCGGAGATATTCCATTTAGAGGATGACCTAAGGACTGGGTGAGGTACGCCTCCGACACGGGGGAGCAAAGCCCCGCTTGCACAGGACTGATGACAGATTCAGCGTCACGTAAGAGATTATTCCTGTTCCCTATGTTTTGTCCTTTCTTAAGGCTCCCAAGATTACTTTGCTGGGATCGATGATTTTATATATATGCAGTCTCAAGTCAATATACAATTCAGTAGACCGGGGTATTTTTGGCTGTGCAAATTTTCACATACATCACGCAGAGAAACATGTCACATGGATGAATGCCTGAACTTGGAAGTTTATTAAGCAAGTCCCAGAACAGACTTTTCTGCCGCACCTTCACAGAAGGTCCTCAAGCGATGCTGATTCGCTTTCAAAAGCAGGATCCTTAAGGCAGCTGAGTTTGTCAGCAGGATAAATGTGTCTCTTGCGGCTGAGCATTAAAGCTGCAGCCCTGCAAAGCGGCTGCGCTGTACAGCTATCTGACGGCTAAATGTCTCCATGTAAAGACTTCTAGTGGCATTTAGCAGTATGCTAACGAGCTGTAGCAAGTGTGCTGTATAATCACTGCTTTCAGAAGGATGGCCGACGGTGACCCTTGACCTTTACAAGTGCTCTCCGGCTGAGTCCTGAACACAGGGAGTCATGCCCTAGCAGCGAGTCACAGCCCGGCTGCGAGTCACTCCCCTGTAGCGAGTCATGCCCCAGCAGTGAGTCACAGCCCAACAGTGAGTCACGCCCCAGAAGTATATCACAGCCCAGCAGCGAATCACGCCCCTAGAGTGAGTCATGCCCCAGCCGAGTCACAGCCCATCAGCGAGTCACGTCCCAGTAGTGAGTCAGGGCCCAACAGTGAGTCATGCCTCAGCAGCGAGTCACAGCCCAGCAGCGAGTCACAGCCCAGCAGCGAATCACGCCCCTACAGCGAGTCACACCCCAGCAGCGTGTCAGTCAACGTGGGAGATACACATGGCAGCTGCACAGAAAATGGGAGCAGCACCTGAAGCACTGGGTACGTGGGGGGGACATGGGATTGAGAATCACACCATCTGAATGCTGGGAAGGGCAGGGCACAGTCTGTTAGAGCAGCGGCCCGCGAGCTCCAGGCTGATTACAGCGTCAGATTAAAACGTCACATGTGATCGACGGCTATTTTTCGTCAGATATATTTGTCATATTTATTATATCGGCCCATTATGTACAGGCAGCAATGCGCGTTATATTCACTCATAATGATTTTACTCATTTCCATATATTTATTTTAACTAGCCTGACAGAAAACACAGATCATTTATACCACAGCAAACATCCTTAATCTGCCTGTAAATCACTGGCCTGCAGACGTGCCCCCCTTCCCCTGCCGGCTTTGTCGCTGTCCCCGTGCTGCCTGCGACAGCCTGACCACGCCCGTTCCAGAATACTCAGGTGACTGTCCGGCCTCCGTCATGCATGAGACAGCAATGCAGGAAAGCCAGAGTCCAGCATTTCTTCCCTGCGCCGCATTACCCATGCGCCGCATTACCCATGCGCCGCATTACCCATGCGCCGCATTACCCATGCGCCGCATTACCCATGCGCCGCATTACCCATGCGCCGCATTACCCATGCGCGTTAATCTCTGGAAGTGGCAGCGTTTCTCGTCCCATCAGCCCGTCTCCCGAACGTGCGGCCGTCATGATTTCGGCATGTTTTACTATACAGTATATGGAGGCTAAGCAGCACATTTTTAATCCCCCCCCCCCATTTTTCATACACTGCTCCTGAGGTATCCTCCAGTCTTGGGAGAAATCCCAAAGTAATTCTGCCCCCCCCCCCCAAACAACATGGGGGGAGATAATTACTTAAGCATGACGGCAAAGCTAACTGCCCACCGCTGGAGGGTGCTCAGTGCCCCCCCAAGCACACAAAGACCACCCCCCCCCCAATCTAGCTTGATTTGTTCAGCCTGGAACCCGTGAGCCGGAACACTTTCTGGGCTCGGCGCCCGGGGGCGAGAACGGGACCTCAGACAGACACTCCCCAGGAGGGAGGAGGAGGCGAGGGAGGCGGCGGGGGTGGGGACGTGCCAGGCGGAGGCTCTTAATTTAGGAGCGGTCTGGCAGGGAGACCCATGTCCCCACGCATGGCCTGAAGGACTCCTTGAGATGGCTGTCCCAGCAGAACACCGTCCCTGGCTGGCAGAGCCTGTGAGCCGAGCCTGGGTATCAAGCGGCAGCCCCAGCAATGGCCTGTCTGCCACCGTCACGCCAGCCATTTAAAGGGAGAGTCATTAGAAACTGTGACATGTGCCATTCAGGGTCATGTGACCCACGAAGCCTCATGTGATGGACGGACACAGGCAAGGCGAATGGAAACCAGTCAGGGGTGTTTTATTATTATTATTATTATTATTATTATTATTATTATTATTATTATTATTTGCACCTCAGTCTGCCAGCTTCAAGATGCCTATGAAGATACTTTAAATTAAGTACCCAACCATTTGTCATCATTAAGGAATACTAACATACAATAGTTTATAAAGCTTCTCACTCTCATGTGACAAGCATTTCCGCGCAGAATTCTCCTGGTCATTTTTTGAGCTGGAGGTCTTTGCTGTGACGCCTCTTAGATAAGGCTGGCCGTAAGCTCCGGCAGACCCACCTGAGGTGAAGTGTGTACTCCGTCCCAGCGCAAATCCGTACGGTGGTGTTCATCCGCCACGGCCGCTCCCCCGCGCCGCAGGCCAAGGCGTACTGAAACAGGCGCATTAGCTCCTTAGCTTCATGCTAACCGTCTTCAACGTTCCAATGTTCAGAGTAAAGAACACAGAGAGGAATCAACGACATATCAACAAGAAGACAGTCGCCGAGGACGTGGACAGGGAGGGGTCACGCAGCATTTCGCCGGGGGGGTGGGGTTGGGGGGGGCAGCAGCATCGTCGGGGCAATAGCTCACCTGTATCACCCCTCTGTCGATGAAAAGCTGCATGAAGAAGGAATGGTGAGAGTCGGAGCCCCCGTCGGCATACAGCAGCGTGCCGTCCTCAGCTGGGGACTCGAACCTCAGCGAGATGCTGACGTCGGTGACGTCGGTGACTTTAAACTCCAAGACGGAGTCACCCGAGTAAAACGCGTAGGTATAGCCTGCATGAGAAGCGGCACTTCAGTGGGTTAAATGCTATCATTAATTCATTAATGCCATTTAACACCAAGAATGTGTACCTCAGTGGTGCCGTAACGCACGGGTTTACACAGGCTGAAACCCAGGGGCTGCTGATAAAAGGGGCCTTTTTACTCTTGCCACTCCCCCATGCTCTCATGTCTATGAATATCTATATGATAGATAGTTTTCTGTTGTTACTCCTCGGAACAGGCTTGCCTGCGGTTTGCTAACTTTGCCGGTGATAGAAGTGCATTAAAAGCCATATAAACGGATCTGATGCCCCTTAGCGAAGATCAGCGCTGCCTGACGCTATCGGGGTGAGTGTGGCAACGGCAGGTATGAGGGAATGAGCGAGCATGAAAAGCTCACAGAGCTGCTGCCCGCGGGCACGGTCGACAACGGCCAGGCTGCCCCGCAACGCGAATGCTAAACGCTGGTGCCGGCTGCCTCCGCGATTGCGATTCACTCCACAGTCGCAGCGGGCGGGCGGGCGGGCGGGCGGCTCGAAGGACGCCTCGCTTCGCGGGAGGGATGCTCGCAATACTCATTTCATGGTGTGAAAACAGCATTAACAAGCGTGGACTCCTGCTGTTTACAGCAGACTTATCTCGCCTCCGGAAGCGGAATAAATGACAGAATATATCCACAGGTCGACCTTGACATATATATTCAAAGTGCCGATAATCAGGGGCTCACCCTAGAAGACGCAGGTAGCCGAGTTAGGGGGCAGGTACACAGTCACGCAGACAGGCAGCCGCATCATCTATTACCTCACTACAGATGCACACCCCCCCGGCCATTATTCCATGCAAATAGGGGGCAGGGGCACTGCTAGAGATTCTGGGCCCCGTGAAAGCATTTCATACTGGGTCCATAAGCCAGACTAATCTAATTATATCTCAAATTCTCCTGGGCCTCTGTCACTCAGGGGCCCTTGGAATCATCCTGACTACTGCCCCCCCCCTCACCCCCCACCTCTGATGGAGGATGAGCTTACCTCTGCAGCCCAGAACATTTTTTCAGAAATGGGGCCTGTCACAGATTCCACCCCAATGCCCCCAGTACATTTTTATACACCCTTTACACACTTGCACACTTACACATTGTGTATATCTTTTGCACTGTATGTGACCGTTGTCTCTGACGGTGTCTATCTGCTACATATATGAGAGCATGTGCACTGCGTGTGTGTCTGTGGGGTGCGACAGCGTGAGTGTGTGTGGGGTGCGACAGCGTGAGTGTATGTGGGGTGCGACAGCGTGAGTGTCTGTGGGGTGCGACAGCGTGAGTGTGTGTGGGGTGCGACAGCGTGAGTGTGTGTGGGGTGCGACAGTGTGAGTGTGTGTGGGGTGCGACAGCGTGAGTGTGTGTGGGGTGCGACAGCGTGAGTGTGTGTGTGCAGTGCATGAGCATGTGTGTGCAGCGTGTGACCGTGTGTGTGCGTGCGCGGTGCGTGAATGTGTGTATGCGTGTCTGTGTGCGGTGCCTGGGCGTGTTTGTGCAGTGTGTGAGGGTTGTGTGTTGTGTGTGTGTGCATTGCTTGAGTGTGTGTGTTTTGTGTGTGTGCATTGCGTGCATGTGTGTGTGCGGGGTGTGAGTGTGTCTGTGTGTGCAGTGCGTGAGTGTGTGTGTGCATGAGTGTGTGTGTGTGGTGTGTAAGTGAATGTGTGTGTGTGCGTGTGTCTGTGTGTGTGTGTGTGTGTGAATGCCCTTGTCCAAAGAAGCTGACTCTGACTGAGGCTCCCAAACACTAGAGCCAAAGCCGTATTACAGCAGGACTGCAGATGGAAACTCTCTGAGCAGAAACATGTTTTTTTTCTTGCTCTCTTAATTAGGTCACGCCGGGGGACGCTCTCTACACAGTGACTATTTTCATTCAAGGACTCAAAAGGTTTATTGTCAGTCGTACAAGTACAATGAAATCCTTGCTTGTGTACCTCCCTGCAGATTTAAACAGCACTAAACAGCAAATAGCAGAATAGTGAACAATAAGACACATACGAAACATATAACACATGCATTCAGGTGCTGCATAATGACGTTAACGGCAGACCGCATATACCACAGTGTAAGAGTGTAACGGAGCTGAAAAATTCATCCATCACTCGTGTTTGTGGTGATGCTGGTGTGAGCTACCCTACTGTGCTGCAGCTCGTGTAAAAGTGGAGCACATACAATTAAGTACAGTATGTTATATTTGATGATGATAATGAACAACTATGTGACTGGTTTACATATTTCACCCCAACTCCGGTGCTGGGGGCTAGTTCGCAATATGGTTTGCAGATTTGCCTGCTGAAACACACCTACTAAATCTGGTAATTAGCGGATTAATGTGTGTTTGAGCAGGGAAACCTGCAAACTGTTTGGTTCTGGCCCTCTGGAACTGGAACTGGGGAACCCTGTATTAACGGGTTTTCACTTATTAAAAAAAGAAAAGAAAAAAAAAAGTTTAATGTAGTCTAGGTGTGTAGTAGGTTGTAACTTCTAGGTTTATGTAAGTACACTCTGTGATGTTTGCACAATGACAAAATTGCCTAATGGTGCATTTCTCAGAACGTATCCCTGTCCTTAAGTGACGCATGACTGTACAAGCGATATAAGACATACATGTAATATTCAATAATATATGAGCAAGACAGCAAGGTGCTGCCAGAGGCTAATAATGACAGTGGTGAATGGTATTAAGTTATCAGTGTGTTTCTGAATAAATCTGCACATGTTATTAGTGAGATCTACAGCAAAGCTGGCTGATGCGCTTTCACGGCGCCGGTCCCTGGTGGGGTCACGCCTGACCTGCTTTCCTCCCCATAATCGAGGGGCTATCATTTGCTCATCAGGAGTAATTAACAGCCACCTCTCAGGCATGGATCTGCAATATGGGGAGGAACGGAGGCCTCCTTAATCACGTGAGCTGCTCTGGATCTCAACGTGTGCATGTTTAACACAACAACACGCGTGTAATGATTTAGCGGCCGCTCAGACTTACAGAGCCCTGGACACAAAGCCCTGCCGAGATTTATGCTCGTTAAAATCCAGCCGACTGCATTCACAGTTCTGCTCAGCCGTGTCCGGTGCGTAATGACAGCAGTGAGTATCACGCTCGCTTCCCGTTAGCGCAGACCGGCTCCAAAGGCCGCCAATTAAGCGTGTGATTCTGATTCTGCTTTCCAGTGTATGATAATGTCTGAACAGCTCCTCTTCTGAACAAACAAGCAACCCTTTGTACCACAATGAAGCTGATAAATCTGGAACGTTCTAACCCTAAGCCTACCTCTTTCTTGGCTGAGGTGTCTGAGTCACACCGACCGGCCACCACCCTGCCAATGACGATACTTCATTCCCGTTTATCACACGTCGCTTTGAGTAAAGAATTCAACCACACTGCTTGACAGGCTCCGGTGCAATTTAAAGACACTGCTAAGGTACTGAGAAAAAGATCTAGATCCTCGTAATTACAGTTCTCATAAGCAGAGGCATTTAACACCAGACTACGTGTCTGTGTGGGACCCTGAGGTTTCGGGACACAAATAGTCACTATGCAAAATATTAAATTCATGTTTTCCTTATTTAGGAGATGCTGAGGCAGCATGTTATGCTAACCAGCTAGTTAACAACTAGAAAATCAAAGACAGGAAGTCCCTCAGAGATACCGAAGCTGACCGGCTTCTTCACCTCAAACAGTGAAATCCATGAAGAGGAGGCAGCAAACTTTACAAACACAGACTTCCTGAACAAGGCCCCAGAAACACCACACCTGCCCCGAGTGCCCATGACGAGGCGGCCATGAGGAGCAGAGATACAGCCAGGGGGCGCTATGACACCCTGACCATAATGCACACATTCATGTCTACGGAGGTGTGACACAGCCTCAAACGGCAGCACGAGCTTCTCTTAACCAATATCAACCAGACGCATCCTGCTTCCCGCCCACCGTGGTCAGTCCCAGCTGACAAGCCGCCACCCCCCTGCCACATCCCTCTTCCTTCTGACTGCGGTCCGCCACTCCCCCCCGTCACATGGATTCCAGCAAGGTGACTCATTACCTGCCTGGGCTCATGAACCCAGAACCCTCCGCTCCCTTCGAGTCGGGCGGTGGTTCTGACAGGGATCGTGGAGCAAGCCGGGATCTCGTTAGGAAGGCCGGTAATTGGCATTGAACTGAAAGGAAACTGCTCCAGTTTGTGAGCGGGGAGCAGAGCTGAGCTCCTGCGGATGAGTCCATCCGTCAGCGGCAGCGGCGACGCGAGAACAAGCTGCTCTTACACACGGAGCACGGCGCCTTGCGGGCAGAGCGCTCGGCGCATGACAAACTGAAAACGCAGACTGACGATGGGGGGCATTTCTGGGCGCAGAAGGCCGAAGCAGGCCGCAGCGCACGCAGCAACAGAGCATTTCCTGCTTCTGTGAATGTTGCCTTTTTCCTGGCCTGAAGGCATGATGGGTCAATCTGCCTTAAAGTGCATAAACACGAAAAACGCATGTAGGGAAGCCCCTGCTGGATGAATTCAGCCTTGCAGGCTCGTTACGTGTCTGTCCGACCGCACAGAGAAGCGTCCTGCTATTCATCTCCCACATCAGCAGGCAATTATAGGATATCTAAGCGGAACGTGCCGGCCTGCGAGCTGAAGGAGGGCGGGCCATGGATGCCTTACAGCTAAGAGAGTCGGAGAAGCAAGCTCTCATCCTCAATATCCCCAGAAAACACCGGAAACACTGTATCTGATGTCCAAACACAGCACACAGAATGCGAGATGCACACTCTGCACATTACGTGCTCCGCGTGCGAACGCCGCGGGCTCGAGAACACGGGAGGAAACGGCTGAATAACAACCATCATCATCAGCGCTAATAATCACACTAATAGCTGTTATTAAAACACAGCTTTGGATGAGGGACAAAACCAGCCGAAAGGTGCCAAGATTAACGAATCCCTGCAGGTTAAAACTTAATCAATATTAGCTTGACTTCAGATTGTTCC